TGCTTGATAATACAATGATGGATATAGTGACTAGTCTTCTGTACACATTTACTACATTTACCTGCCTTAGTCAAATTTAGTGTTCCTCACCTGCACAAACCATGCCAAACACATTTTTAAGCCAATTATAAGACAATGAGCCAGACTGTTTCACACCTAATTAACTCTTGTAATCCTAAGTGTATATTAGACAGTAAAATTAAACTAAAGAATAAATGGTAGAAAAGAGATTTGAAATTTCATTGTCTGTACGCCTTTCTGCTCTCTCTGAAACTATCCTAGGAAGGGCAAAACCACATGATTTTGCGTTGAACATGTGAAAGTGCTTGACTGAAAGAGTCAATGAGACATAACCCCAACTTCAAATGCAGGGAGCTTAACCTTGCCCCCTTCTTCTCACAGCTGGGTTATTTTTGCAAACATAAAGGCCAATTAGTGACTCAGAGTTGCCTTTGGAGAAAGAGAATACTGCTGTCAATGTGCTGTACAAAGCCCAAAGAACATTCTTTGAATGCTAAGTCTGGGCATTAGACTCCAGCTTAAAGCCCACTGCAAAGATAACATAGGACTTTTAGTTTTAGTCTAAAGTTGCACGTTCTTGTATGGTTGAAGAGGTTTCATATGTCACATTGTATGCCATATTAGATATAATTAGTGCTCAACACTGAAAGAATTAGCATTATCGACTGTCGGGTCGGATTTCATGGGACTTTTTCGGACCACATCGTGTGGTGTTACATATTAACATCACACGCAGTCGTAAAGAAGGGTAATGGGTCTGACATAGAACCGACGTTACAAAATGTTTTCTTGCATGTTGTGTGCAATTACACATTTCTACCAGTGTGGTCTCCAAATCTCTACAACTCACATAGTGCAGCTTTAAGCGAGACCAGCACAAATGACAGCAGTAATTTTGCATAAACCTAAGGAGTCCTGCTGGTGACATCCCATATAAATTAAAATAATGCGTGGCCACAACTTAGTAAGATGTGGGAACGAAATAATTAAGTTGTGATCATGACTTAGGAAGGCATGGGGACAAGATCCTAATGCATGGCCATGACTTCGTAAGGTACGGGAATGAGATAATTAAGTCTTGACCACAGCTTAATAAGGCACAATCTCATTCCCACGCCTTACTAAGTAATGGCCACACATTAGGATCCTGTTCCCATGCGTTTATACAGCATGGCCACTCATTATTTTTATTTATATGGGATGTCACCAGCAGGGCTCCATATAAACCATCAATTTCAATTCACTGAATTTTTTGTAGTACATCTGTCAATATTAAAATAAATTTTCTACTAAGCCCAACCTTTAGAATATGTTCTGTAAAGCGAGCTGGTTATACCTCTAGGTGGGCAACATGCTGTTCAGTTCTATACATGTACAGAAGTGAAAGTCCAGATCCGAAAAATGAGCTTAACGTTCATGTTAAGAGATAGACATGCGTCAAACACCAATGATATTTAATACAGTGGACATGATACAGAAGACTGAAACAGACAGGTTAGTGGTGTAGGCAGCATGTATAAAAAAGAGTAGTAAATTCTGAGTGGAGCTTAATTCATATTCTTCAAGTATGTTTGTGTTGGCAACTGGAATGTGGACAAACCAAATGGACTTTATATATGTATGCCCTCTTCATTCTTAATTTGAGTGGCCTGGGCTGGTACATGCTCCTAGATTAGACAAAAAAGAAAAGTAAGAGGTACTAACAAAGCCAATTCATTTGAGTCTTGTGGAAAATGAAAAGGAAAGTTAAATGGAACACCCAATGAGTACATCACAGCTGCACTCCATCTAAGACCCAGTGCACTCAGCAGAATACTCAGAAACTTCTACTGACATCTGTCTTGTGTTCAAACCAGAGCATGAACCAGTTATGGAAATATGCAAATGTAGCAGGGGAATCGTCCAAAGGCTCATCCAGTCAGAGAGAGAGGGAGGGAGAAGGAAACAAAATCACCTGGCTGGTTAACTGGTTGGTTAAGATTAAGAAATAAAGTGAAAAATAAAGTATGAGATAAAACAAATTTATGAAGTACTGGAGAGAATAAAACCTTTATATAAAGGACAGTTCACAAATTCACAAGGAAGTCCTGGGTTAGTAGACAGGTTAAATGTATTTTCAGAGCCAATGGAACAAAAGCATTACTACCTACACAATCGGAATTCAATACATACTTTTCGACCTGTGCATCCAAGCAAGCTACTATCTGTCTCATGCTGATCCACTTATAGAAGTGTTAAAGACTCCAAATACAGCTTATAAGTTAACTATCTGTAATGAACAAGTTAAAACTAAAATTCAACACTGTCACTAGACCTGATGAGATTGCTGCTAGCATATTAAGCTATTCTGCACCACTGATTGTATAACCACTGGCACACATCTTTAAACTGATGACACACTGATTGCAACTGGGGAGACTTGTTTTGTTCCTCTTCTTACACAGACAATGTGAGTAATACATTCCCCTTCTCACTGTTAGAATAATATCTCACAATGCCACCTCAGTCCAGGAAATTCACTGTGAATCAAATCTTAGATGCTTTACTTTAATATGAGACAGGTAAATGCTTTGAATACCATACTGAGCCTTGTTTACCTCTGCAAGGTCAAGCATAGGGACCAAGGGAATGCGAAATAGCCCTGAAGAAAGTAATTTAAAAGGGCCCATATCCTACAGTTTTCATCAAAACAGTCATAATTCATTTTATATGACCATTTCCAACCTCTCTTTATCTCTTAGAATTAAACAGGCTGTTTTTATTACTAAGACTTGTATATGTGAATGAGCTCTGTTCTGATTGGCTGCTCTGCATTGTGTCTCATTCAAAAGTCTGGACTGAAACAGTCCTTATAACTTCAGTGTGAATAGGTGGAGCTAAACTGCTACAGGCTGAATGGGCTGACATATGTACAGTCATATGCAAAAGTTTGTACACCCCTGGTCAAATTATGTTTTGTTTTCTAAATGAAAATAAGTTATATGTCCTTTACAGAAAACCCAATTTAAAATTGCATTTTCAGTAATATTTTAGTGCACAATTTCTATATATTTGTAAAATGTAACATATTGAAAAAAAAAACATATAACTTTGGCACAGGGCACATTTTATGTTTTATGTTTTCCCAATATGTTAAATTCAGTACATACACAGTAATCGTGCATTAAAATGTTTAGAAGTGTGTTCTCTGTAGAGGGTGTGTTAACTTATTTTCACTTAGAAAATCAGCACAGCATGTCATTTGACCAGGGGCACCCAAACTTTTGAATGTATGTAAATACATTGTTTTTGTGACATCATAAAAACAATGAATTCGAAATGGGCTGTTGTTTCAGCTTAGTTTCCATATTGGACTGTATGGACTGGAGAGTAAGCAGTATATGTTTGGAACTTTTGAATAATGTTTACATATTACATTCGACTCTTTTATTACACTTTTTCCATTTATGAGCCCTTTCAAAGCTGATGATCACTGAATCAGATGACCTGCTTCATGCAGTCTCTCAAAACTTTTCTAAGCAGATTCAGACATTTGTATATCTACTGCAGAATATTTGGTGGTTAATGACAAAAAAATACAGAACAGACAGCCGCTTTTTACATCTAAAGGATCCAGTCAACAGAGTCGTTGAAAATTCTCCTGTTAAACTTCATAAAACGGAACGACTGCACTGCCGCTCATATCTGCAAACTAAAACTGTCAAAACTGAAACCAATCAAATGTGATAAGCCTTAGTAACAAACTGTCTCAGGGAGCTCAATTAGCACTTACACATAACTGTTGAACAAAATGTGAAGAAAAAAATAAAAAGTTTGAGACTCTCTCATTTAAAGAGCCTGTCCACTCTGAAAGTGCACACACAAGATGATTTATCAGTATTACACAAGATTTCAACATAGGTTTCCAGAGATTACTGATCCTGAATGTTGATCTCATTGTAATGAACTCAAAAGTTCATAAAAACCATATTATGATTTCAATAAACCCTTCAATCATAATGTCATAAATGGTAGAATAAATATTTATAGCAAGACCTTCTTCATGCTGCAACATATTTTGGGTACTGAGCTCAGTTTTTTAAGCAGCCACTGCATCACTGCAGCCAGGACCATATTCTTTAGAGAAGCATCAGAGTAAAAAATCAGATCTCATATTCTAAGCCAGGAGAAAATAGCACACAGAGATGAGAGTAGGACATCAGGAGATAAAGATGGAGCAAGCACCTGAGAGAGCACGGAACAGCAGCTTCAGGTTCCAACACACTTCTCTAAAAATAGAATTTAATAACGAGCAAAGACGGAGTACAAAACAAAACATTTTATTGTTCTAAGCACATCTACTCAGCGTCCAGACTTCCAAATACTTTATAGAGTTACGTCATGCCCACTGTACCATCTTTCAGTGATCTTCATGCTTTGATGCTTCAGCAAACCAGTACCCAAATGATATGTCAACCTTCTGCATATAATAAACGAGTCAGTAGTCTGTAAAGGGTTACAGTCTATTTCAGAAATTACTCAGTGAAACAATAAAATGAAAGACGAACAGAGCAATTAAAACCTATTACAGTACAAAAAAGGAACAGTATTACATTACACACAGCAGGGAGTAAAAACAGTGAGGAAAACTTCAATAAAACAATTGGTTTTAAGTTGTATCTTAACTCAAACGGATGGGAGGAAGAAAATTATGCTGTGAGATCATGACATATAATGTTGAATCTGAAAGTGGTAGACACAGTGCTAACACAGTCATACGCAAAAGGTTTGGGCACCCCAGGCCAAACGTTTTGTCATGTTTCTTGATTTTCTAAATAAAAATAAGTCAACACATCCTCTACAGAGAACACACCTCTGCATGTTTTAACGCGCAATTACTCTTTCTTTGCTGCATTTAACATACTGGGAAAATAAATAAAAAGAAATTGTGCACTAAAATTAGCCAAAGACACAAAATTTAAGTTCACTGTAGAGGATGTGTAACTTCTTTTCACTTAGAAAATCCACAAAACGTGTCATTTGACCAGGGGTGTTTAAACTTTTGCATATAGCTGTATATAGGGCCTTCTCTTCTTTTTCATACACTGACAACATGAGTATTACAGTCTTCCTGTTAAAGTACTAACTCATAATACCACCCTCATCCAGGAAACGAGAACTATGAATTAACCTTGAATGTTCTGATTTAATATGAGATCCGTAAATGCTCTGAATACCATCTCAAGCCTTATTTACCTCCTCAGAGCCCAAACATAGGGTAGTTAGCGCTACTGAATTACATTTCCTCTTTCTTTGATTACAGACATTAGACCTTACATCTATTTCATATTAGACTCTGCATGGATTAATTATCCTCATCTTACACATGAATATAATTAGCATGTAATTATGTCAATCAAAACACTGGTTATGCTAATAGAGGGTTAAGCTGAGGTCTCGTCTTAATGAAGCACAATCTAAACAAGTGCCCACTTTTATCAGATCGATTGCAGACGTCTCCAAATTGCAGGAGTCAAAGTAAAAGGACAATGTTCATAATTTACGGCAACGATTGTCAGAGAAATTCATGTTCACTGGTCTTGCTTAACTGTTCCATCCTTAAAGGGGAATTCCAACAACTGTCCAAAATTTCAACATACTTACATAATAGTTAAGATGTAGCCAGTCATTCAGAGTAGTTTCATGTAAAAAAAGCCATTCTAGAGAAACTTACTAAGTCAAAACAGTACACAACAGTTGTGATAGGAACCAGACGTCTGAAGCATTTAATGCCTTTAAAAGCTACCTCACAGAAACCTATTACACGAAATGGTTATGAATACACTGTCTGATGCCTGAGACATTGTTTGTAAAATACATTTATGGTGGACAGGTACATGCAAGATATTGTAAGGCAAAATAGTCCCAAATAACAACTTATTTTTTCAAAAATACTATCTTACCATATCTTATCATTATCAACATTACATATAAAAACTCGGAAGACAGGTGTAGATTCACAAACTGCTTTAAATAGTACACATACTGTGTTGTGGATGTCACGACCCCTGGTACCTATCACCACCACTGTATCCAAATCAAAGTTGGTAGGTTTCTCTACAAATGCACCATTTCACATAAAACCATTCTATGTGATTCTGTTTACATCTCAATGACTCAATTACACTGAATCAGTGGAAATCCCCTTTAACAATCAGTCCCCATGATGGAGAAACTGGAATACAATGACTGGAATAAGTCATGTTTTTACCTTAGAAACAAGAAAGAACTTACAAAGAGCATAAGAGAAAAGACAAAGCCCTTGAGTACTGATGCTGAACTATACAATGACATAAATGGGGTGTTGATAACACATTAAATAATGTACAGCAGTACAAAGTAAACAGTGACTGATTCTATTACAGTTTACATGCAACTCTTATTCTTAGCAAGCCAAACTACAGCACTGTCTCTGTTAGCTACTTATTTGTGTCTTCCATTTCAATGTGCAATGTCATGGTTACTTGACTCAGCTTTTCTTTCCTAAGTATTGGACATCTTTTATTTAATGTACAGCAAGTCTAACCTTGCCCATTGGCAAACGTTTCACCAGCAAAGCAGTTGAGCATGAAATAAATGCTTTTAGCATAAAATGGCAAAAAATACAAACATCAGCACTGAACAAAGTAATAACCAGTACAACACATACACGAAAAGGACGAGTGGGAGAAAGACATATTTTTAAGTCCACTTTGGTTTTTTTTGTACTAATTTGGATGCAAATGTACCTAATATTAAGCTATCCAATCAGAAAAGGCATTGTAATGACTATGCAAAACATTGTTCAATCACAAAGTCACATAAAACCCATCACTGTAAAAATTAACAAAATCACTTGTGCCAAAAAGTATGAAACCTTTAAGTATCTATCAACACACACACGCACACCCACACACAAACATGTACACTGTAATCTCAACAGGAGCAGACATCTCTGACTAATAAATAAAAATAAATTACCTTACACATTACTCATTTCTTATAAATAAAATCTGAATTGAAAACGTTTCTCTAGAAGCACTTTAAATCCACGTCAAAGCTGGAGACGTCTTCTGAGAGGGTCTGGTTTGGCAGTTCAGTAGTCTGAATTATCTTTAGACCTCCTCAGCACAAATGTTCTTTAATCTCACTGACTGCAGTAATGCTCCACCGCATGTTTCAAAATGCAGAAAGGTCTGTTTTTTTTCCACTGGAACATCCAACTTCACAGCACTTCAGCATTTCCCTGACTCTGGTGATCAAAGTGTGAGCTTAACTGAGTCAAGTTTTACATATAAGAACATCTGCAAATGGTCCCAAAAGGTTCTTGTTAAAGATGCAGCGCACCCATACTAGATATGTGGTAAAGGGCTTAATGTTTTCTGAGAAGGTGTAGTTTTGATGAGGAAGAATATAAGGCATGTAAGTGTTCTCCCCCTGCTCCTGGATCCACACTTCATATTTTACCTCCCTCACCTTCAGGTACTTGAGGTTCCAAGGGATCTGCCACGACACAGCAAGTTTTGCTTCATTGGTTGCCTGCACTGATGTTTGACATTTGGGTTCTCGGACTCGACCGGGATGTACTGTGCTGATAGGTTTAGACTTTTTCAAATTAGGCTTGACTTTTAGACCTTCTCTAAGGACCTCCAGAAAGGACGGAATGTCCACGATTGTGTCTTGATAAATGCGGAAAAGCCACTCAGGGTTACGGCAGCAGAGATGTCTTGGTACCTCCTTGCTGGCTAAGATACGTTCCTGCTCCTCCTTTTCCAAGTGAGTGATGCCTCCCTGGTCCCAAGGGCGGTCAGGATAGGCCACAGAATTCTCCTCAATGTTGTTTCTCCATGCTACATACTGCAGATCCATTCCTGGCAAGGATGCCAGGGTTTTGTACGGAGTATACTGTTCTGGGTTGACTGCATATGGGAAAAGCTCTATCACAGCAGCTCCTCGTGGCAGGAACATGGAAGTTATCAGCTGGGCTCCATGCATGCTGATCAACATGGATGCCCCACTAATAACCTGGACTATGCTATCAAATGTCTGGTCCTCCAAGGACACAGTGACTGTCCTCATTTTGAACTCTTGAGCTAAAGCAAGGATCAACTCTGCCTCATTGAGTATAAGCCTGTTAGAAGCACGACTAAAAACGACTATATAATTATCGTCCTCCGGCCTCTGCTCTTGTGTGATATTCAGCCTTCCCATCATGAACGAGGCAAACTGACGGATCTCATTCCCAGACACCAAAATGTTGGCTTTGGGACCTTGGGGCTGTACAAAGCCATACTGGTACCAAGTGGTCATCTTTGACAATCCCACATAAGATTTGGTGAAGCACATCAGCTTGCCAAAGTTCCGCAAGTGGTCTTTAAGTAGTGGTTGCTTGCTGCTAAGCAGACGATAGAGATCAAAATGGGCCCCCTCTCCCCACCCTTCCATAAAGACCAGCCTGGCTTCATCGTCCAAGTCTGAGTACTGCTGCATGGTGTAGAACATGGGTAGAAGATCATCGTGGAAGATGTGCATCAGGTTATCAGGGTTGAAGCGATTGAGAATCAGGGTGACATCTGGCACAAACACAGGCTTCGGCATATACTTCAGTGCAGCTGCAGGCAATTCCAAGAAGTTAAAATACTGAGTGTTATGGTCCTCGACAGAGGACAAGTCCAGCAGAGCTGGCTGGAAGCGACGAGACCCCAAATTGGGGAGCATGACTGAGGCATTGCTGTGGAAGAAGATGAACTCCTCAGCCTCAGTACAGTAGCAAAGATAGTCGAAGCGGCAGATGCGGTCAGTGTGCATCTTTCCTGTGCAGACCATTCTGGTGCCCTGCTCCTGCAGCGCCAGTAGGGCAGCATGGTAATCGATGCGCACCTGCGATAGCTCCTGGGACTGCCGTGTGAGCTGCAGCTCCTCCTCGAGTTGGGTCATGTGCTCGCTTAGCCGAACGTACTTCCATAGCAGCGCCGCCACTACCGACACCAGCAGGCCGTTCAGCACTGCCGGCAGGTTCATTCTACAGCCTAAAGCACGCATTGCAGCAGAACGCTGGCACCTCACTCATACTCCACCTGGACCAGGTAAAGACAAAACAATCAGTTATGAACATTAAATACTGATGCATATTATATCAGAAACAACCAATTTAATTCATATTCATGTAATAATTATAAACTTAATTTATCTAGTACTCTTCATTAGTTATCTCTAGTTATCTCTATTACAAATCTTACAGTGCTTTACAGTAGGCCGGGAAAATAGGGCAATGTAACTGGATATTAACAATGATTGACAAGTAAGCCAGCCAATGCTTTAAAAGCGATAATCAGACATTCCTACAGACATCTACAGCTGAATTCCAGAGCAACTAATTTGGAAAACTTCTTTTTTGTAACATATAAGGCATGTTGACATGGATCTGGAACTCACTGCTCACGGATAGCTGTCTGGAGTTTCTCCAGCAGGAACACTTTTGCACACAAGTTGCTTTTGTGTATGTAATTTAAAGAGAAGAAACAGCCATAAACCACAATGATCTGATGGATGCATGTGTTTGCAGTAACAATTCTGAAGACAAGAGGTGAAATAGTTTATTACCAAAAGATTATTTTGGTAATCTTTGGTATGATTACACACTACACTATTTAACATGTGATTTCCATATTCCAATTTTATTAAATCAGTTAATGTTAAAAAACATTATATAAAGACTGCAAAAAATATAGAACATACAGACTGCATAGACATATTGGTCTAAGATGCAGTGGACCAGGTTTGTGTATTTGTGGGGAGTTGGGGGTTATAATTAATAATCCTGATTTTTTTTTTTTAAAGGAAATATACTGCTAATTAATTTTAGACATCACCCAGGTCTATTTTACGCAGGATTGCTGTCCAACTACCCCCCCAAAAAAAAATTCTCTCCATTTTTAATTTTTTTTTTACACATCATTTCAACATAGCAGCTGTCCTTTAAATCATATGAAAATGTCATGATGTATAGACCAATAGAAATGCTGTAAATTTACCTGAAATAAAATTTCTTTACAATAACTTACATTAAAACTTTAGAAAATTGATGCCTTCTTCTGTAAAGTTACTATGTTGGCGAGATGTTTTGAGAAGATGAGATGAAATACCATGGCCTAGTTGAAATAACAGTATTACAAACAGAAGAAGAAATATACCTCACCAGACAAAAATACATTTGAGGCATCAGTTTTGCCATCATCTTTAATTCTCTAGAAGCAGAACACCCTAATAGTTCTTACCAGTCAGAAAGCATTCTGACTCCGAGGCTGGACTCCATTTTCACTCTGTCGTATCTATTTCCTCTCGATACTGGGTTACGGAAAGGAAGGACCGCTGGCTTAACCTCTCATCTCAACATCTGATTTTCTGAGCTACTGCCATTCTCAAATAGCCATCAGAGCCGTGCAACATTTCCAGCAGCCAGATACACACACAGTCACTCACGCTCACTACTTTAGTCCAACATTGCATCTCTCTGAGTGTCCTCAGCTGCCTTTAGTGCACGAAAAAGGGGCTGCCTTCTTTGAGAGAACAGAGATGCCCTATGGGCCAGTGCTATAATCTTCCAGTCTGTGACTCTGCACACTCCATAGCCCTCTGGAAGAAACAAGTTAGAGTGAAAAAACTCCAAGGTCCTGTTTCAGCTCTCTCCTCATCTCCTCTCTTTTTCACAGAGCACACAGCTCCAAACGTACTGCACCACAGTGTTCACACACTGTACCAGAATGTATAGAACTTTGTGTGAACAAGTAAAAGTGTCACTGAGAACTGTCCAAATTATTGCACATGCCACGTTTACTATTTTACTTGTTTTTATTTTATAAGTTAACCAAATCTAAAGTAACTATGTATTAACATTTGCAGAAAAATGTTATAGTCTGCTACAGAGGTAGCTTCAAAAAACAAAAACAAAACATAATTTGGTCATGGGTTCTCAAACTTTTGCATACAGTTGTATGAGCATTGTTTAATTATGAATTTAAAAATATGGCAACAATTGTAGCTGTTAACTTTGACAAGTTCATTTTGATAAATCTGCTTGTTAAGTTCTCTCCCTGGTCAAAACAACACAGCAGTTTTTAAACACTTTCCAAAGATTGTATGTAACTGAATGCCAAGATTCACTGGTCAACTGTAAATGTGATGATGATTATATAGGATTTTACACATGGTATTAATATGCTTTTTATGTAATACAACCTAGATTTTCACTCATCTAGTTGCACTGTGTAAAAAATATCAGCCAGAGGAACTTGGCCACTTTTAATCACTATTTGGCTTGGTCAGCCATTCTGCTTTTTGACTAGAAACTGATATATGTCTATTTAAGCATGATTACAGAAACCCAAGATCATTTCAAGACATTTATGAGGCTATAAAACCTTACAACATGAAGTAAGAATATACACTGTTTTTGTAAGGGCCCACAGGTCCAACTCGCATGTTGCTAGTTGTACAACCCATTGCTTGTTCATTTGGTGCAACCACATTTGAGCAGACATGCCCTATATTCCTTGGCCAGCTACAGGTAGTCTGTGATGGACATCAGATAATTAAGGATGATCATTACTAATAAAAGAGAGAAGATAAGGATAGAAATTACTTCTGAGTGAAATGGGCCAAACTACTCCTTGCTCTCTCCTCTAATAATCCCATACTCCATCTCTCCTGGGAAATGTCACTTTAAGCTGTCAGGCATGATAGAAAGAGAAACATTCTGATGGATGTCAAAAGTGACAGTCTTTTGCTGCATTTTTCTGTTGCTGGATCCAACCGACAGAACTCATTTCCTACTGCAAAGACTAGATACAAAAAGCTTTTAACAGCTGACACTACTGCTCAGCACAAGTGGTAAATGCTTAGAATGAAACTGCAAAACTGTTCAGCTTCAGTGAAAATACTAACATCTCGTTTGCACATTCTAGATCCGAATGGAACAGCCCACACTTGGCCAGCTCTTGGACAAGAAATGCTAATTTTACCATATGATGCAAAGGGCAAATATCGCTCAATGTCATTTTTATCCGCAGAGTGTCAGATGCTGTTGAGACTCCGGCAGTATTACCCTCCAGTCGGCCAGGACAAGGACAGCAGCAGCAATCCCCCTCACTGAACAGGCAAATCCGGAGGGATGCACGCACGGTCAGTGCCAAGTAATGAGCCCCTGAAAAATGTCAACTGGGTAGTGAAATTAGCTAACGATGCCTTGGTGGCACTGTCTTAGGCTAACATGATTGTTTAAGGATGAAACCATGGTGGTTCCTGCTTTTGAGGAGAAGATTTTGTGGGTATATAAAACTGAAGTTGTACTCAGTCCAAATCACTTAACACCGAAAACATGTCCCTAGTGGCACTATACTAAAACAGACAAGGACAAGCTTCAGAATTTTTCATTCAGTGGTCTTCATGACTTTCAAAATAACCATCAGGTGTGTTTTCTTTTAGCATACTGATCAGCAGTGGAAGGTCATTCCTTTTAAATTCTTCAAATGTTTTAAATTGTTCCAGTGAAAAACATGAGTCACTCCTAATAACTATGCAACTGAATTTGCAGCATAATTAGTAAATCATTATATATAATTTACAAAGATAGGGTAAGAACAGTTTCTGTGTGAAAAAGCAACTCCTAATGAAATCACCACATTAGAAGAGTGCCAGGATGATTTTAAGAAAACACATTTAGTCATAGGCTCCAGCTGAGACAGTTTCTCATTTAGGCTATTTTTGTCTAAAGTAATATTTACACCCGACTCCCACAATATTCAACATGTCTCTCCTGGGATTTATCCACCCACAACGCATCAGAGCCAGCCTGCCTACACTATTCCATTACCGAATATGCCAAAAACCTTCTTCTGAATTTAACTGCACATTATCAAAAAAACCCTAACAATTAAAACTAGGAGTTTTGCTCACAGTAGGGCACAAAAGATTCATCATTTTGTGTCAACAAACATCATCACGATTTAAATTGCGGTTGCAGTATCGGTCATAAAAATCACAAGTAGATATTTTACCCAAATCGTTCAGTCCTAGCTCACAATCCTTAAAGAGACAAACTTACAGAAACGTGTTATGCCCACAAAAATGTAATAAACTGTTGCATGCAAAACTTTGGATACCCCTGGTCAAGTTGCATGTTTAGTAGATTTTCTGAGTGAAAGTATGTACACATCCTCTACAGTGAACACGCTTAAATATGACATTTTCCTACACGTTTGAATGTGCAATCCCTTTCTTTGCTGAGTTGAACATATTTGAAAAATTAAACATAAAATATAAAATGCGCCATAACGCTAGCACAGGTCACATTTCATGTTGTATTTCCCAGTATGTTAAACTCAGCAAATAAACAGCAACGGTGCATTCAAATGTGCAGAGGTGTGTTCTCTGTAGAGGATGTGTTAACTTACTTTCACTTAGAGAATCAACAAAATGTAATTTAACCAGAGGTGCCCAAACTTTCACATATGACTGTATAAGCCTACTTTATCAATCACTGCAATTACTATTTTGATGTCCTGTTTTCAAGTATCCTTCTCAATAACTGCCACAGATATGATGCAGAGTTATTCATCCAAACTGAAGCTTATTTTAGTGTTCGGGGGCTCCCGTATCCCACTGCCTCTGCTTAACAGCTACACAAATGTATTTGCAAGCTGCACCTGAAAACATTCATGAGCCCATTCTGCGGTGCACTGATGCCTCTGCATCCTGCAGATGTCACATTTAATTGAACATGTATACTGACAGCTATAAGTGATACTGAAGTAAAAGCCTCGGAGAGAATGTTAAATGAGCTCAGGATGGAAGAGAAAATCATCTGGAAGGTTTACATACTAAAAAATTATTTCTTTTTCCTGTTTCACAGCTTTCATTATCTTTGCGCTGGTCAGAATGTCTCTTAGGCATTGCTAAAGAGGGCAGTGACTGTCTGTTCTGGCCTATTTCAGTTGGACTATGCGCATTGTGTGACACATCATACCTGTGCTATGTCTCAAGCAATGGCTAAACCACATGTTCATACCTCACTCATACATGCAGTGCCTAACCAGTTTAATCATTCAAGGGGCAAAATGTAAATACTACCGTGTGATATCTATCAGACTATTTGTTATTCATCACCCAAGCTATAAATCCAGGACCTTAACATTTACATTTACATAAAGCTTGACTATATAAATGTAGTCAGTCTTTTATCCAAAGGAAAAATCTTTAATATCTATTCCCAGCACTGAGCCAGGCAAACATATTAAAGATACATTGATGCGAGTAAATTTGCACTAATTTGCTAAAGACACTAAAGACTCTTTGAGGAGTTAGTGCCAAGAGACCCAGCTCTACTGGAGTCATTCAGACAGAATTCTCTGTGCTTTAGTGACGCTCATATAGGAAGAGGAGGGCATGTCCTTGAAACGCTCTCCTTCATTCTCTCCGTATGAATGGAGAGTTAAAGGAAGGGATGACATCAGCGTAGCGAGGGAATCAAAGGCTCCAGGTGTGTGTTTGTGTGTGTGTTTGTGTGTTTGGCCTGGCTGACAGGCCTCCCCTGGCTCTGTGGTATACAGCTGTGTTGTTTGCTGTGTGGATGATAAGCACCACAATGATGGGGGAAGGCAGCCTAGTGCTTCCAATGCATTTTAATCAGGCTCCTGGAAAGACACTGCGCTCAGTCTTTCACTGGCTCTCCTCCCTGATGTGTCCCTTAAGGATAACTGAGGAGATTCCCCCTGCTCAGTTCCAGCCCAATTCCCCAACCACCCCCCACCCCAATCCACAAACAGCTCATAGGCTGAGAACACATATTATGCCTCCCTTGCCCACCACCTTATCGTCTGTCCCTTCAACCATTCAGAACATGCCGATTTTCCCAGTCATGATGTGTCAGCATCTTTTATTCAGGATTCAAATTGGGAACAGTTGACAATAGTTAAAATAGGCACTTCAGAGCCAGAGCATTTAACATAAATCTACATAAGTGGCAACTTTTGCCTTCAGTGACTGAAATACTCACCTGAATCACAATATGTTATGTGAAATAATGTCAGTTATAGAACTTTAAAATGTACATATGTAATTTCACATGTATGGCATTATTTTGGGACACTTTTGTGGGAAAGGAGCAAAAATCTTGAATATGGGAGCAGTTTTTCCCCTGGTTATTACTGATACAGCTCTATATTACCTATAAAGCTACTCTATTTTAAATTTACGTAGCACAACCAACACTGTTCAACAGTTACCTTGAAAAGTTTCCTAAAATTATTCTTTCTTACTGTTTCACAATCTTATTTTTTAATTTCAGTCGATGGCAATAGCAGCAAGCACATAAGCTCTTAAGTGAAATGACAGACTTATCAATGATATCAAATATATTTCTGTTATATTCATTTATGATTTTACACACTAAGGTCAGTGAGTAGACCAATAGAATAAACAAGCACAATAATACAAGTTAACTAATTTCATAACGCCCCCTCCAAAATAATAGCTGCAGTGATAAGTGATTAGCATTTAAATACTTTCATCATCCATATGACCTGAAAATAGAGCACTGCAGCATAAGAAAGGTTGTATCTAAATCCATTATGGGCCACCGATACCACTTTCTGAGGGGTTACAGGCAACGCTCCAACTGACGACTGCAGGCTATGAAAGAGTCAGTCTGGCCCAGCACCCCTTACTTCCCCAGAGACGGATGAGGAATGGGGCTGAGGCAGTCTTCCAGCAGGGGTTACAAGAAACAATGTCACTGAGCCTCCCAAAGAAAAGACCCTACGTAGGACTACAGCACTGAGGTGGAGGAAAGCAAAATGATAACACACCACTGTAGTCGTAATGTGGCCAAATGCAAGCGGGTAGGAATACAGTCCAACAGAAACAATATCAGATTTAAAAATATACTATCTTGTATACATTATGATCTAATCCAACATTAGAGTAGCTACATAAAACCTAGCAATGTTCGTATGGACAATAATTGGTCTATAATATGCACCATATCAGTGTCTTTGGTGTGTAGTGTGATATATTAAATCACCCTACTGTTTAGAGAAACATCTAATTTCATAAACTATGCATGGAACATAAATACTATACAATCCTTTAATGTATCACATGGTCTTGCGCTGAGAACTAATAATCAAATCACACTATTTGCCCGTTGGTAAAAATGAACTATATGGTATGCAAACATATCAGCTATTAGTGCTACTTCCTTGGGATAGAACTTATCACGTAAGTACAGAAGCAATTTTTCAGTTGGAAAGGGTATACTGTGATCAATGCTTGTCTGTTCAACAAGAGGTACATTCAATAAGAACAGGACAATGATGAGTTTTAATAAATGTAGAACGGTGAGTTTTTTTTAATGCTTTCTGACCACAAACAGCCCAAACTCTGTCCCTTTATCTGATCTATATTTTTATCTTGCGTTATTTGAGATTAGCAGATATTGCTGCCATGTCTAGTCAGTTTGACTAGTGTAGCCTTTAGTGCGCTGCCAGATAACATCTTGCTGGGCACACTAGAGGAAAAATCCAATTTCCCCAAGTTACTGACAGTTCACTCAATGTACCTTATTCCTTTATACACCTTTTTGCTCATGCTTTGACTTCACCAGGTTGTACTACGGACATGTGGACACGCTGCACACAGCACTGCTGACACATTTGTAATGTTTCTTTCTATTATTCTGCTGAAAACTCTGAAAAAGGCTGTTTGCATTTATTTCTGCTACAATGAAAATAATAATAATAATAATAATAATAATAATAATAGTAACACCAATACCAAAACAACAACAATAATAATAATACTTATTATTGTTGTTGTTTTTGTCATCATCTCACGGTAGGTCCTCAACAGACTGTATCACTGCTCTGCTCTGTATGAAGACATCCTGTACTGAGGTCAGCTGTAAGCTTTAAACGAATATATTGATTGATATTTCTTTTACATTTTAGCCGGTACACTGCACAGAATGAGAGACAATCCTTACAGGTCAGTCAGTCGACACAACAAGTATACAGACAGAACTGTGAAGTGGACACAGTGAACTCATCTTTTCCATTATTAAAAGCCAGTGGACAGGGGTGATAAGCATCTTCCTGGCTCGTAGTTAACAGTCTAACAGCCTGATACTGAGGAGATGCACTATGTTGAGCCTATAGCTACTATAGCTACCCGTTCCCTCCTTTCTCTCATGTGAAATGAGCCGGTGGAAAACTTTTCTCACAAGTTCACGAACAGAAAGACGCAAATGCAGCCAGTCAGTTAATGCCATACTTACCGGACTGTAGGTGCACCTGGACGGGAAAACGAGGCTCGAAGTGATTGCGGCTAACGTTGCTTCAGTAAAAGCTCTGCACGGTCCTCTCTCTCTCTTTCTGTGTGTGTGTCTCTCTCTCTCTCTCCCTGCGCGGCGCGGCTCGCTTGAGTGGACCACGCCAGCTGGGGAGTCTGGAGCCGAGCAAGCGCGTCTCGATTTCAGCTTTATACACTTTGCGAAGTCTCCATCCATGAACTACACAGTGACTGAAAGCGTTGTGTGACAGTCCTGCTACAGAGATAAATCCTGCCCCTGCTCTGTGTTTCTGTACAGAGCTGAGCCAGTCCAGCTGAACCAGCAGTCTCCACCCACAACACACGGCGATCTCGCACCAGGATCTCGCGATATCTCTTCGTGATCTCTTGCTCTGCTCTATCGCTATCGGAATACGTACTTACGCCCTCGTTTTCGCCGGTAGTATGTACTACTTCTCTCTTTACCTAAAACCGCAAAAAGAACACTACAGGCAAAAAGGAAAATTTAATCATGTCTACATCTGTTGTAAACATGCTTACTCGCATCCTATAGCAGTCCATAGTCCGTACAGTATGACTTTCCTCTAGAAAGACTAGGAAAACCCCATACTGATTATGGATCTTGAATGTGGGAGGGCCTGCTACAGGGTGGATTTTTTCTGTTTTAAAATGGATTTTGTTGTTGCTGTTATTTGATAAATGCAGAAGGAAGGAAAGCAGCTGATTCAGTGAGAATACACTGAGGAACAAACCAATAAGGACATCCATTAAAAGTTGGACAGTGTGTAAAATGCCAATAAACACTGAAAACAAATTAGTACCTTTTGTTTGACCTGTGGGGTGGCACGGTGGCGCAGTGGGTAGCGCTGTCGCCTCACAGCAAGAATGGCCTGGGTTCGATTCCCGGCCGGGCGACCAGGGTTGTTTCTGTGTGGAGTTTGCCTGTTCTCCCTGTGTCTGCGTGGGTTTCCTCCCACAGTCCAAAGACATGCTGTCAGGCCAATTGGACATGCTGAACTGCCCCTAGGTGTGAGTGAATGTGTATGTCTGTCTGTCTGCCCTGCGATGGACTGGCGACCTGTCCAGGGTGTATCCTGCCTTCTGCCCAGTGACAGCTGGGATAGGCTCCAGCACCTCACCGCGACCCAGAAGGATAAGTGGTTTAGATGATGGATGGATGGATGGATGTTTGACCTGTATTAAATTGAAAACACTACACAAAAACATGATATTTGATGTTATACCTCTTGAACTTTCTTGTTTTTTTTCTCATTCCAAATCTGATGCCTGCAACACATTCCAAAAAAGTTGGCACAGGTGCATGTTTACCACAGTCACCTTTCCTTACTACATCACCCTTCCTTTTAACAGGACTTAATAAACATTTGTGGACTGAAGACACCAATTGATCCAGCTTTTTTAACATATTTCATTTATACAAGTCTTCAGCTAGGCAACCGTATAGGGTCTTCACTGTCATATGTTGAACTTCATAATGTGCCACATGTTTTCAGTAGGTGACAGGCAGGTCAGTCTAGCTGTTTCTTGCCGTTGTTATGGACGTCTGGGCAAGCATGTACGTCTCTGAAAAAGATGGTGTCAGTTGTTGTTCCAAAAGATGTATATCTTTCAGTGTTATTGGTCCTTTCACAGATGTGCAGGCTACCCACCAATACCACATATACCATGACAGACACTATCCTTTGAACTGTATACTGATAACAATCTGCAACAGTGTTTATTGACAACAGTTTGTCCAAAGTCCATGTGGTGATCCATCCATCACAGAAGCATGCCAGTTAATCCAGTGCCATCTGAGGTATCATTTGGTCATGGGCACTCTAGCTGTGGTTTTTGGCCTTGCTGATTATTTATTTTTTGACATACTGTGCCAATTTTATTAAGAAATTAGTTTGTATATGTACATATATCTCCTCATATTTAATATATATGTATATGGTATATATGTGCTAAATATATTGAACTGTACATTTAAATTAATTTAATACATGCCAATGTATGCACATATGTCAATGAAATATGTCATAGTGTCCAATTTTAATATTTACATATACGTCAAATATATAGAGAAATATATTACAAAATCGACACATATTCTTAAAAATGTATGGAAGTATATTCCCTTTGCATATGGGATAACATGAAAACAATATAAAATCCTGAATTATGTCAAGCTGATGAGGCTGAGGGATACAAAGCTGTGGGATACAATAAAGAACATTGCATAATACAACAAATAACATAAACTCTACTTTTAGGCCAGAATGCCCCTTTAAGTAAATGTGGCATTTCACACAGACTGCAGCTGTCACAGCTACAACCACAAAGTTTTTTGCTGCATTTGAATTTTTATGGAAAGCTTCTTCTAGGCATCTTCACAGCCAAATATATTATGCTCTGTTATTAAGAACATCCTCCATCATCTCAAAAATAAACTGACTGCTTCACAGATCACATTTTTCTGTACTGTTGGATAATGGGACTGAACATTGTCCAGTGTTTGTACACCTCAGATTCAGCTTGGATGTAATATGGCATCCGAATACATTTTTTTATTTTGTGACAAGTATTGCAGTATCAGCGAAAAGTAAGATGCAGATAAGATCATGATTTTGCACCAAGAAATGCTCTTTTATTTAGCAGTAGTAGAAAAAGCACATAACCATACAGTAAAAATAACAGGGAGGGCAACACCAGCCACACATCTCTGCTTCATGGTAGACACTCAACTACCTAAACCCACTGCCCAACGCAAACTAACCCAGGTAACACATACCCACTTTTTTAAAATAATGGAACACAACATAAACAACAATAAACAGTCCTTTTTCCAGAGGGTGTGTGCCTCCCATGAGCCTCCTCACATGACTCTTCGCATGGCCGTGTCTCCCGAGCCTCTATGGCAGTGTGAGCCAGCACTGGGACACTACAGTATTATAGGTAGTTTTGGGAACGCTGGTGTTCTGGTGAAGTATTCAGATGTACTTTAGTAGAAGTAGAGTAGAAGTATGCAATTGTAGCCTACAGAAACCAACCAGGGCTGCTCTAGCTTTAGTAGATGTTATGGTGTCTAGCTTTTCTATAAAGCAGCTCTCTGATTTTCAGAAGAAGCCTTTCAGCTCTGGTACACTTGGCAACCATGCTGATCAACAGCATTATCTTCATTATTTGTTTTACAATGAATTATAGTTTCTTTTAAAACTTTCAACTGGGGAAAAAAGGTTTGCAAAGGAGGAACTTACAGGGGAATTACAAATACATTTCTGCGTAATTAATCACTATAATGAAAATAAAATCTTTAAGAGTGGTTTGATGTAAAATGCACCATTCTAGAGAGAATCAGTCAGAATTATTTACAGTGATGGTGATAGGAACCAGACATCTGAAGAGTTTAATGTCTCTAAATGCTACTTAACAGAAACATGTTACATGAAATAGTTGCAAATATGCTGCCTGATACATTGTTTTATAATAATTTTGAGATGAAGTTTTGGCCAAAAACGTATTTTTTTGGAGAAGCACATGCAGTGTTGTAAGCCAAAATAGAACCCAAATAAAATAAAAAGTTTTACATTTCTACACTGCAGACAAACCTGCACAAAGGCGAAGTGCTCAAATACTTTTTACTTATAAAATACTAACTGTAGCTTTTTCCTTTAACCAGCTTTATCGTTGGTCCCCTCCACCTGTCAGGCCAAATCTGTAATCCAGGATGGCTGGCTGACAGGGTGATGTTGAAGTCATGTCAGAGCTGAGAGGCCTCTGTGGAGGCTACGTGTGTACATCAGTTTTCTGTCAGGATTGCACTGCACTGCTGCAGTGTGGCCTCTACTTTTGAACCCCTGCGTAATGGACCTTTGTTTCTCCTGCTGACACATATACTTTACTTCCAATTTTGGTGCCTAAATTTTACTTTCTTGATATATCTTTGTGTACAAGGTTACTTCACTAACAAATGTTTTAAGCTACCACTTAGGTGTGAGGTCAGGTACTAATGTTGGATGATTAGTTCTGCATCAAAAGCTCCAACTCATCCCAAAGGCATTAGATGGAGCTCAATCAACCAGAATAGCAGTTCCACTGCTCCACAGCTCAATGCTAGGGAGATTTATACCCCTCTAGCTGACACTTAGCATTGAGAATGGTGATCTTAGGCTCATGTGCAGCTGCTCCAGAGCATCACAGTTGACTGGCAATGCTTTTCTATGTAATTATACAAACTGTGTGTGCGCAGTTGAACACATGTACAAGCAAGATGTTCAACAAAGTAGCTGAAAATAAAAAAGTGATGTGGAAAAATAAGGCTGAAGGTAAAGTCAATGAATTAGAAGGGGTATCTGGATTGTTTTGGACATGTGGTGTGTTTGTGTTATTTCTTTACTTTTTAACTGGATTTTGCACTTTGCGTTTTTAGATTTTTAGCTTGCATTTTATAGATGTACACAGAGACGTCTTATATCCACAAAATTGCTACAGTTGTATCCTACACTTTCTGCAAGGTTAAGTATGCCCACTGGCATCCAGGGTGTGTTTGAATAATATGATCACTGTGAACAACAGAATTTATATACATATATACATGAAGTTTGGAAATGATGGTTTAAAGATTAGCAAACCTGCACAGATCTGTATGTATCACCCAATGCACCCCATAATAGCGACCTGCGGTGCTTCAAAAGTTCACCATTATTGTGGAGAATAACTAGGCATGAAAGCTTTGGTACTGAAACATGCGTTATATTGATAAATGTTGTTCCCTGACCATTCTTTAATCGAAGAATGATGGCTATTTAAAGGTAGAAATCTTACATGTGCCAGACGTTACTGATAAAATTCAATGTTACAATATTTTCCAAATCCACATTCCACATGGAGTCAGATGATATTTAGGTTTGCATTTGTAAACTTTATTAACCCATGCTCCAAGAGTGCTGATGCTCTATGCTAAAAAAATGGCCTACATATTTGACTGTTTGTTTTGATTGTACTATTTTCTTCTGTTTTCTTCTTTCGAAATGTCAGAAAAGAAATATATTAAAAACAAGCAACACTTTTTTCTGGACATTATTAAGGATACAATGCTAAAAATATCACTGAAATGGTCAGGATATCATGGCCGATTTTACAGTATACCAGAATGGACGGTATATCATCCAGCACTACATGTATCTTGATTAAGCTTTAAGGCCTTATGGCTGAATTCCAGCACTATGAATTTGGAATTTGCTTTATGATAGCATCGTGCTGTTTAAATAAAAGGAAAAATCAGCACTCTTGGATTGGAGCCTCTCATGTTTCTTAAGTGATCTAATAACCAATCAAAATTAGGAAGGTTTGCACATGTTAGTAGAGATCAGGTTTGCATATATGAATGTAGTGACCCCTACAGGTCACTTATGGAAATGTATCCTATATATATCATACGCAAAGTGATTTTTATACAGTATGTAACCAAATGTTATAATCTGTAATGTTTACATTACTCACTTAGCTATTAAATATTAGACGTCACTGCAAGCACTATTAGTGTTTGAAAAGTATCCTACAGAGGTGCCATTGTTAACACACTGTCATTTTCTCTGAGGTGCCTCAGCTTCACATATTTCGCTTTAAAAGGCTGTGCTGTAACATCCCACTCAGTTACAATCAGTTCTTTCATCAAGACTTTCTGTTTCAGACTATTATTTATTAGGGACTATGTCTTATGGAGATAGCTGCAAATTATCACTAGATGGCAGTCAATCCTCATTTTCTAGAACAATGAGCCACGCCATTATCTGCACAGTATGTTTAAAACTGCTTGCCCTGAACAGTCAAATACTGTTTCTGCACCACAGTGTATGCGTATGTTGGTGGGGATTATATGGCACCTACTGAACACAGATAGGAGTGTTTCTATCTGGACGTTTTAGAAAATCCACCAGAGTTCTGGATGTCAGACTTATTCTGCACTTTGCTTTGAATGAGATTCATTTTTGGCCACTGTTGTGATGTTATTCAATTTTACCTCATTTGCTCTTTGTCCAGGACTTGCTGCCAATAAAGTGTGCTGAAAAAAGGCCCAGTTTAGAGTTAGACTTGACTTTAATCCATTACTATTTTTGGTCGGGGAAGCCATAGAGACCAATTTATACCCTCTGGAAAATATGCCCTGTAGAAGAAGAAATCTTGCTTAAAAACCATGGTGCACCACACTGTGGGCAGGCTAGGTGGTCAATAGACAAAACCGTAGTCTAGTTTTCCCAAAATGTCCTCTGAAGAACTGCTGCACACACATTTTAACCTCGCAAATGACTCCTTAAGTAGCTGAAGAGTGTGATGGTAGCAGGGAACCCCTAGGCTGCAATGTGCAATGCAGAGAGACCCTGAGACCAAGCATGAGAAACACTGCTGTAGCCTAGAGGCAGATAACTGGAGGTTTAATATCCTCCCCAGCAAATGTGAAGTAAGTTAAGCCCAGCCCAGGATGATGAGGGTACAATATAATAGCTAAACTACACTGTATGCCAAAAGGTAACCAGACACACATTCTAATTCGTGAATTCAGATACTTTAAGGCACATCTGTTGCCGACACAAGTGGTCAGCTGCACACACAACTTGTATAATCTCCATAGAAAACCATTGCCATTAGAATTTGATGCTCTGGTGCAGCCGCACATGAGCATAAGGTCACCATAAACAATGCCAAGCGTCACCTAGGTCCAAGGGGAAGGGTATAAAGCTCCCCAGCACAAGTGTAAACCTTCAGGATGAGTTGGAGTGGCATTTGTGATCCGGAAGTAATTATTCAACCTCATAAATAGATAGATAGATAGAGATAGATAGATAGATAGATAGAACTTTATTGATCCCAAAGGGAAATTGCAGTGTTACAGTAGCAATACATAACAGGCAGAAATAAAAATAGACATCAATTAGGCAGACAGTTAAATATGAGAGACCTCACTAATGTTCGGAGCCTCGCTGGTAACATCCCTTCCTAATAAACTAAACATGGCCATGAAATAACATTTTGAGGCCACAAGTTAAGTTTCTTGTGGCTACAAATTAATATATTAAGGCCTCAATATATTAATTCGTGGCCACATCTAATTAAAAAATAATCACCATGTTCCCTTTAGGCCACCTTGCACAGTTTAACTCCAATCACAGTCTATCACACCTGATCCAGGAATTGAAGGCCTTCAGGGGCATCTGAATAATAGAACCAAGTGTTTTGGGTCTAAACTCTACAGGGTGGTAGATCTCCAGGACCAGGATTAGGCACACTTAGTGGCTCTGCGGGATCCTAACGCATGGTCATCACTTAGTAACGTGTGGAAGGTGGGAATGAGATAGTTAAGTTATGGCTACGACTTCGTAAGCCATGGGAACAAGAAAATTCAGGTTTGATAGTCAAGTTGTAGCCACTACTTAGCAAGGTGTAAGAACGTCTTAACTATCTTGTTCCCACAATTTAGTAAGTTGTGGCCATGCATTATCTTTATTAAGAGGGGATGTCACCGGCAGGGCTCTGTACGAATTGCTTTTGTGGCTGAATGCAATGAAATTCTCACAACAATGTTGCAATGTGAAGTGTAAAGTAGAGGCTGCTACTGCATTAGACAGCACAAACTCCCTACTAATATCCTTGATTTTGGAAGAAACATTCAATAAGCACGTGTCTACAAATTTTTGGACATAAAAGTGTGCCCTGAATATAACTGTAAACTATTAAGTGAAAACACTAAATTGAATGGCGATCAATCAGACTATGTCTCAGTTTAATTAGCACTCTTCACTTTTGCGTGGTAGTGACGGCAGAGAAGGCTGCGGCTGCGCTCTTCACTGAGAGGAGAGAGGGAAGAGGAGAGGAGAGGGAGAAGAGCAGCAGCAGCATTAGGGCGATTTCGCTGAGAACAGCAGTTCCTTCCCTCCAGCAGCGTTTGCAGCACATTCATCAGGAACCGTGTGAGCGCCGCCACAGCAAATCCGAAGTGCTGAACTTCATTCAGAGGGCTTTTGTTAAAAGCCTTCAAAACCGGATCAGATAGCTTGATCCGGTTGTTCTTGTCTTGGCGTATTTAGCGTTATAATGCTTTTTAATGTTCACCGGAGCGAGTGGTAAGTCGAACTGCCGTTAACGCTGCATATTTAGCTGGCTAACGTCGGTAGCAAGTAGACTTGAAACGGGCTAACATTTGTTAGCATGCAAGCTAGACGCCGCTAGCCAACAATAATATCCGGTTAACGTTATCTAGCTCGGTGTTGTGGACTGAGACTATACAAAAGAATATTCAGCCACCAGTCCGATGTTGTTGTTGGCTATTTACCTAAGTAAGAAATGTGTTTAGCCACTGTTTTACACATCGCGCTTTTAATCCGGCAGCATCGCTGCTGCTCCGCGATGAGAGCTGCGCTGTTTGCTGTTCGGGTAGCTAGGTTAGCTAATGTCGGTTAGCCAGCAGGCTTTGGCTTGACTGGCCCTTTGCATCCAGACTCGAGTCCAGCTGGGCTCAGAGCTGCTCTCAGCTGTGTCTTATAGGTCTGACATGCAAGAGACTAACCGGCTACCACCACCAACATGCTGTGTCCAGATCTTACACGGTGGACGAGCCTTCGATATGTTGCATTTAAAACCCACATTTGCTAACTAACTTCATCCGCTAAACCGACGGCAGCGGTTGCTGAGCGTCTAATTTTACTGTTTCTTTGGTACGGACATAAAATACATTTGTGGTCTGTTGTTATGCTTAGTATCAAAGTATATAGTATAGAGCAGCGTTATACATTTTTGTAGCTAGCTAACTAGTGACTAGACACCTAGCTGGCGTTGCTAGCCATGGCTAGTTAGCTCACCTGACGTGCCTCATCACTCGCTGACTAGGTCAGTTGCTCGCAAACTTAATTAACTTTCTTATTAAACAGGCGGGCTTACACCTTTTCTTAAAATAACTTGTTACGTAACTCTAACTGTATATTAGATAATTATGTTGCAATTCTGATGTTTACCCGCAGCTAACTACTAACTTCTGATTTGGTGTCCACAGAATCAAAGAGTTGACTTCACCAGAGGAGAGAATTAGCTCTAGTCTGGTGACTGCTTGGTGTGTTGGTTTCGTAAGGTTATTGTGTTTGACTCCAGCTGAGTTAGATATTTGACTGTACGTATAATAATACAATACATCTCTCTTTTTAAAGCATTCCTAGCTACAAGTTTGTAGCAGTAGTAGTTTTATAGACACTGGCTGATAAATCAAAAATTGGTTTCACTTTCTTTATCAGGCTCACTTGGTGGTCATTAGTGGGGTGAAATAGTTTGAGTCGTACGTCCCTCTTATTCATTTATAGAAAATGACAGTTGCTGTAGGAAAAGTTACCAGAATCTAGTGAGTGAATTGTAACTAGGAATGCACTGATATGGAAAGTGTGTGCCAATGCTGATGTTCAGTATTTTTTATTTATAAAATGTCGAAATTGGGATTGGATCAACTTGGATTCGCATTTTGGAGAAATAATTACAAATGGAATTATTTATGCAAAAACATTTCTGTATGGTTATGAATGCAGTAAAATGAATAATGAAATAAATAAAATGAACATTGATATTTTAACACAGTAGCTCAGCGACACCCAGCGATGCCAAGACATTTTGTGCTTCCGGATTACAATAAATACATCATCAAAAATCGGTTTGAAATATTCGTCAAATGTAAGCGTCTGTCTGATTTTGTAAGCATCTGTCTGATATTTGCAGATTATCTGCACTTCTGTGCCAATACTGATATGATTCCAATATTATTGTGCATTCCTAATTTTAACTAATGTTGGGAAGGGAAGTAGGCCTAAATCGTAGTGGTGCGTAGAAAGCTAGGCTAAATGGAACTTCTGGCTTTAACTTCTGAGGCATGTTGTGTGTAAGACCATATACATGCCTGGCATCAACATGCGTCTTGGGTAATCCAGTCGTAAATGGACAGTGCTAAGTGCAGGTGTGAATAGTGCGAATAGTCCCCTTTATGTCTCAGATGCATTGTGATCTGCTAAATTAAGCCATCTTCAGAGGAGTTCAATGCCATAGCGGAGGCGACAGCAGCTGCGTAGCTTCTTTCTTCGTTTCCTCTCCTGTTTGTTTACAGGTTGTGTTAGCAACCCGTGTGCTCTAAACTTTGTAACCCTCATATATATATATATATATATATATATATATATATATATATATAGCCTTTTATAACAAGAGTTTTGTTGAAATGGCTATCCATAGGCTATATATATATATATACACGAACAAGGACTCACAGGATATTTTTGTCCGACAACAAATGCAGCAAGAGACTGATGTAGTAAATCCATGCGGTAGGGCTTTAGTCATGATATCCGATCAGAAGTGGTCGCTGGTGACTCATTCAATTGTCCATTGACACATTGAATGGCACGGGTAAAAGACTATACATTTTGATGTCCCCTTGTGATCAGATTACTTTATGCAGATGTTAGTTTGTGGCTGTATTAGTTTAAACTATGCAATTTTGTTTTCAGATGATATATAGTACAGGCCTATGGATAGCCATTTCAACAAAACTCTTGTTATAAAAGGCTAGCATTATGATTGAAGCTTCTTCAGGTCTAGTGTGCTATGTAATGCTTAGCCTGTTGGGTAATCACAATATTTTTTTTACTGTAGTGGTTTTATTAACCAGTGACGTAACTTGCTACTCCATGATGGAAATCCTTGAACCACTGTTCTGTTGAACAGGGTCTGTTGAACTAACAGCGAGCTAGTGAGGCGTTTTGTTTCTCACCTAAACAAAAGCGAGTGTAATAACACAAGGTCCTTCATTCTCATACTGATAACAGCAAAGGCACAATGCAAAAGCAGCCGTTATATGTGTACACAGCAGGGCTGCAGTAGTGATGTTTTGAAGCTCTGTAACACTAAAAAATAGGCCTACCTTAACACCATTATGACCTGACAGCAGGTACGGGGATATTTGCTATTTCATATTGCTTACATTTACTTTTTTTTTTGGGTACTGTTTGCAGATTGGCAGTCATTTCCATCATTAGCAGATGTTTTAGCTGATGGTTTTTAGACAACATTTCAGAAATCAAATATGGATGTTTTTGCACTGTTCAAAGTTGTTACTAGTAACATTTTTTTATGTTAAACTTAAAAATAAATAAATAAATAAAAAGGATTTAAAGTGATAGTTTGGTGATGGTGATAGTTAAACTGAACACAGATGCAGTCTAACAGCCAAGATGTTTGATTCTTTTGCTTTGCCCTGGTGCTAGAAGTCTAATGTAGCTAACAAGTAGGAATATAGCAAAACAGCATATTATTGTTTTGCAGTGTGTTGTGTTGTTGTATTGTGAAAAGGGGTTAGCTTGGGGCTGACACATTAACTTATGATGAGCATTATATTTTTATTATATCACAATCTAATGTTAAATGCTCTAATATACTGAGAATAGAAACTAGCATTATCATAAGGCACATTTTTAGCCACTCGTTGTTGCTTTTTAGAAACATGTATTGAACCAGGCAGCACCGTTTCATAAGAATCAAGTAATGAACTTTGTGACTAGTTACATCCCTACTGACATGTAATAGAAACTTGTAGCCACCAGGTTAGCATTACACAGACTGTATGCCTAAATAATCCTGTACTTGCCTCAGACTGCATTGATTTAAGTAACCTCAAACAGACTTGCTTATGAGGTTTCTGACACTGTGACATACTGTTATGTTTAAAAATGGACATAAGTACCTTGTGCATCTAAAAATAATAGTAGCAGTTGTCTTGAAGCCTGTATTTTGCCTGTACTTTGTCCTTTTTTTAGTTCAAGATTTTAGCTCTCCACAGGTGCTTCCTACATTACAGTGACTACAGGCTTGTGTTTGTGAAACAAGTCTGTTTTAAACATCGGATGCCAAACATTAAACGCAAGTGAATTTTGAAGCCTAAAATGAAACTTGGCTGTTGAACTTTACGACATACTGATAAATTAAGGTTTCATCGTAGAAATATTGGAAAGCTGTCTCCTTTAGGAGAGTTTAGCTTATGTTTGGGATGATAGGAGTGATCGGGGCAGTCCAGGACAGAAGTGGGGGAAATAAAGTGGAACCCTGGAATGACAAATTGATTACTCCGTTTATGACGAAGAGCATACAGTATAGATCATGGTATTGATGCGTCTCATTTCGGAATTGTCTTTTTTAATGGACCCCTTCTTCAGCTTTGATGCACTCTTACAACATACTTTTGCCTGTCACTTACATTTTCATTTTACAACCTTTCTCCCTTACTTATTTACACCCAAACAAGTTTGGTGGCATTTCTCTGTCTAGAGCAGTGTATGTGAGAGAAGCAGAGAGCGCTCGCAAAACTCATTTCAACTTTACAGTCACGTCGTCCCTGTACTGCCCTGAGGTTAATGTCATTGTAATTGAATCATCCCATTTAAAGGAACAGTCCAGTGTTTTTTAAAGCAATTTTGTAGTGTTTGTTTTTTTGTTCTGTCTTGTATAGAACAAGACAGCAAAGTTGATTTTATGAACAGTAATATTGTGCTAATGCAGTATTCTCCGAAAGCTGTGTTGTTATTTCCATCTCCGACCTGATAAAGAACAGAATACATGTAATCTTATAACTCAGCTGGACTGTTTTTCCGCTCCGTGCTCATATGAATGTTGTGGGTAGTTTTTGTCAGCATTTTCCACTGTCCTCTTTGTAAGCTAACTGAAGCCTGTGTGGCCAGAATGCCAGCTAACAAGCTAAAAAGTAAAAAGTGATTTTATGGTACAGTTTCAGGTGAATGTCAAAGCACTTATAATTTGCCTGATAATCAGAGGAGTGTGTTTCAAATGATGAGATTTAAGGCTTTTGACCAGAGTAGTGGTGGTTACTCAAAAAAAAAATCCTTTACAAATTACTTTTCTTAAACTGTAGTTAGCAATTACTTATTACTTCTTGGAAAATGTAGTCATTGCTACTCATTACTTCTAAGTTATTCTCTGTAACTCATAGAAATCTGTACCACTTTGAAAGTGCAAGGGGAAATTTAATAGTTAGTTCATTAGTTTGTTTAGAAGTGGTCATTCCCAGTCAACATTATATTATGTCTCCGTCCCAGCCTTTTCTATGATCAAGACATAGCCAGTTATAATAGATTAACATTATGACTGAATGATACAGCTTGAGCTAGTGGAAATGCAAAAACAGATGCTATAAAGTAAAATTTTTATGAATAAAATTTGATGTTTGAAAGAAAATCAAGTCTGGCCTGTGTAGGTGAGGTTGGGGCTGTCACTTCTTCGGCATGGATTTAATCCATCAGGTTCACATTAGTGTGATTATGACTGATCAGTCATCATGTTTTTGATGGTGCAGAGTTTGCTCTTGGTCTATGCCGGTCATGTTCACAAAGTTATGAAGTCACCTGACTTAAGTAACACACGCGTCACACAAATTACATAAAAGGACAGGCTTAGATTAATCTAAATGAAATTAGTTTTAAATGTACAAATGTGCTAATATTGCTGTCTTACATGTGAGTAACGCAAGTAGTGAAATTCCTAAGTCAGTAAGGTGGTGTGATGCATTACAGTGATTAGTGTGAGGCATTAAATGATTACAAAAATTTATACTGTAATGTGTCACAGTTACTTTTTGCAGGACAGTGATTTTGGTAACTTGTTAACGTATTTTCCCAGCACTGCTTGTGATTGTCGTCTCTTTATGGTATAATGTGTCCTCCAATTGATGAACTAGTTTTTCCAATATTATTTTTCTTCTTGCCGTATTTGGGGAAAAAAAAATCTCTCTCTGATTGACAGGAGCCTGGCATCATGGGTTTGCTGTTACCAGCCAGTGTGCTGAAGTGAGCTGGACCCTCTCTTCACTGTAAACTCTTCCCCTCCCCCAGGGGTTATCCCCTCCTCTCATCCAACGGGGGACCAGCAGTCATGGCGGGCATCAAGCGTGGCTATGACGGCAAGATTGCGGGACTGTATGACCTGGACAAGACGTTGGGCCGCGGGCACTTTGCTGTGGTAAAACTAGCGCGCCATGTCTTTACCGGGGAGAAAGTAGCAGTGAAGGTCATCGACAAAACCAAGCTTGACACGGTTGCTACTGGTCACCTTTTCCAGGAGGTTCGCTGCATGAAGCTGGTGCAGCACCCCAACATCGTGCGGCTCTATGAAGTCATTGACACCCAGACCAAGCTCTACCTGATCCTGGAGCTGGGGGACGGAGGGGACATGTTTGATTACATCATGAAACATGAGGAGGGTCTAAACGAGGAGCTGGCTAAGAAATACTTTGCTCAGATCGTTCATGCCATCTCCTACTGCCACCGGCTGCATGTGGTGCACCGCGACTTGAAGCCTGAGAATGTGGTGTTCTTTGAGAAGCAGGGCCTGGTCAAGCTGACTGACTTCGGCTTTAGCAATAAGTTTCAGCCAGGGAAGAAGCTGACGACCAGCTGCGGCTCTTTGGCATACTCTGCCCCTGAGATTCTGCTGGGGGATGAGTATGACGCACCTGCAGTAGGTGAGTACACTCTTTAAAAATGGTCTTCAAGGATTCTTTAGTGAAAGCAGTGGTTCTGTATAGAAGAATAAACACCCAAAACTTTCTAAATGCATAAATGGTTCTTTGCACAATTGAATGATTTGTCTCTGTAATGGAAAACCAGTTGTATATGGTTTTTAAAGAACCCTTTTAAAAATAGTTATGTATAGCACTGAAACGGGTTCCACTGTTATAAGTCAAAGAACACTTTTTGCTAAGAGTGTCATTGTTGATAAGGAGGTATTGGTAGTCCATGTAGTGAAAGTTGCACAGAGAAGATGGTTTCTGTTTTATGGTTCATTTAAGTTCATTGCTCCCTATTTCAGTGTAATGCATTTTGTGCTAAATTGCAAAGTTGAGTGGTCTAAATGTAAAGTTATTTTTTTCTTACGTAGTTAGTATTTTGACAGTATTCTTTAATAAAGATGACTCTCTGGTAATATCCCAGTACCTTGTGTTTACTGAGGGTGATTAAAAAAGAAATTTCTAAATTATGTATCAAAAGTTCTGCTCCTCTCCCTCTTTTACCATCTAGATGAACCCTCTTTATAGTATAGCTCAGTTGCACTGATATATAAGATTTGCGAAGGACACATGACCTTACAGTTTTTGTTTTTAAGTGCAATAAGCTTTTTTCTGAGCCAAGCCAATCTGTGTAGTGTCAAATTAGAGCTCTGTACAATATGGACATTGACAGAACACCAATATCAAAAATTGAATCTTTGACCCAAGAATCAAAAATTGTGTTTAACTTGAGCATTTATTAAATATTCGTTAATGCTTGGATTTCTGTTTAGGAATAAGTAAGTTACAGTTCGTCACCAGTTATTACTCACAGATCTGCCTGCAAAAGGAGCTACATGTTGTGAATAATGTTTGCGCCTTCCTGTAATGCTGTGGCATTCCTTTGCTACTTCCAGGAAAATTCATGTTCAGGTTGACGCAGATTTTGCATGTCAGATTGAGGTGTGGAGATGCTGGAGCATGTTGGAGCATGCTGACGAACCAATCATAACCACACTGAATACCACAGCCTCCTAATCCAGTGTGGTTGCTTTTTGAATTCTGTCCTGTGTCTCAAGTCTTGTTAGGATTGGATGGTTAATCACATTGTTGTTTCATCATTTTCGTGTCCAACAGTTATAGAAACATGATTGTCGAGATGAAATGATCATTGTGTCTCATTCCGTTTCTCAATAACGCTCTCGTTTTGTCTTGTGTTATAAATCCGGCATACCCCTTTCCTTTGCAGTGGTGTGCTTTCCCCTTCTTGAAAGCCCAAATTCAAAATTTGGTTTGGTCTAATTTATTTTTATGTAGTAATTTTATTTGTGTTTTGTGGTTTTCAGTAGGGTCGTAGTTGATTGTATTTATTTTTATTATTTTCATATTTATTTAGATGTGTATAATTATTTATACATTATATACTTATTTATTTATCCTTTTTTACATGTATTTTTTTGTTTGTTTTTCAATTTAATCATATTCAGAGTTCAAGGAAATCCACTGTTAAAAAGACAATAAGTGCATGATATTTCCAAAATCAATAAATAATCTTGTATAATTGTGACTTACTTTAGCTAGCGCTAGTGCAAGCTAACTGCTAACATAGGCACAGTTCAGTGATGTGAGGTACTGCATGGAAATTTGTCATATCCGTTTCGTGCAAAACGTTAGTGTTTTGTTCTGAAAGGATACTACACCATGAGATGTGAGGTCCAAATAATTTTGAATTACATTCAGTTCAATGAAATTCACTGTTAAAAAGACAATTTTTTAAAAGTTCAAATAATGCAAGTGTTTCCAAAATCAGTGAGTAATTGTGTTAAATATTCTTGAGTTTATGAACAAATATCCAGCTCACTGCAGGAAAGAGGGGAGGGGTTAACAACAGGAGTGTGGAGGGGCAAATATAGTGGCATGCAGAGGAACGTTTTTGTTATTCAAAACCAGCTTGGGTACATTGCTGTTTTTGTATTTGATGAGTAACTGAGATTGCCTCTTCAGATAAGCTAACAGAGCTAACAAAGCTGTCATGTTGAATGCTAATGAGGACTCATCATCTTATACACGAGGTATTTTTTTCCTCAGTGGATGATGTGTCACCATGTTATTAGTCAGAGAAATATATTTTCATTATTTCTGGACCTAGCTAACGTTAGCCGGAGTAGCTAGCCTAGTTAGTGATACAGTAGTGATACGCATTCTCTCTACCTTCTTAGCTGCGTTCTTAACAACGCACTTACATTCAGACACTCGTTTCATAGCAAAGTATAACATACTTGCAAATAACAGTAAAACTGTTGATTCATTAAAAATTGTTAGCCTATACATTGTCTGTGTAACGACACCTGAAAAGTGATCTCAGTATTTGAATAGTGGATCCTCGCATGGACCAAATAGTCAAGTATCCATGTACATCCCAAGTATATAAGGTAAGAATGTAGTACGTGGTGCTCAAACTGAGACACAACTAGTCTCAGGGTGTCTGCGTGTCTTCAAGGTCAGTGTCTGACAGCGTATGTCATAAAAAGGCCATTGGAGAACAGACTGGCTCCTGCTGCTGCTGCTGTTTGGATTTTAGTTCCAGTCACAGTTGCAGGAGATTGGACAGTGGAACAGTTAATCCTGTCTTTGTTTGCGCTGAGCCCTCGCTGCTGGAGCCCTCATTAAACATTCCTTATTGACACTGTCAGTGTGATCAAATAGACGCTGTGCTCTGATTGCCAGCAGCCTCCCCACCGAGATTGTTTCCGGCTTTGCATCCGAATCGATAATACTTTGTCCCGCATTTGGATAGCATTCTGTTTTGATACCCCATTGTTGAACTGGGCAGAAATACTACAGTTGGCCCAGGAACATGCTATTCTATGTGTACTTGATCTCTTTTCAGGCCTGAAGGTTTCTTTCTTGATGGCTGATTGACTCACTAGCAGTTTGTGATAAATTTGGAGATTCTTACTTAGTTCTCAAGGGCTTTAGCCATGACCATGGCTCTGTCTTCCATTACTTGCATTGTTTTTGCATCGTCTCATTTAAATTATGTTTTAATCTGACAAAGCAGACTGGAGTTCGATTTCACACTACGCCAATACAAGTCCTTGGTCTCTGTAATATGATTAATTTGTAAGTTGCCCTGGAGCATCTATCAAATGCATAAATATAGCCATCCAGTTTTTTTTTTTCCTAGCCCTAAATCTAATACCTCTGATGTAGTTGATTATGGCTTTCAGTGCCATCTTTGTTGGAATGGGGTTGGCGTCCTTGATCTTTTGAGGTGCCGTCAATTAAACCGAGCCCACTCAAACCCTCTATAATGGCTAAGAGAAGGTGATTGATTCAGGTACTTCTAACAGAAGAACAGGAAGGAATTTGAGTGTCACTGGAAGACAGTATGAAGGGTGAAAGAATTGCAAGCTTGAAGTCGCTTCTAATTGGTTGAATATATTTCACTGGAGAGTGTAGGAAATACATGCATATTTGATTTGGACGTGAATTACTAGACAATATAGTGCTGTTTTCTGAATTGCATTGATCCAGTCTAGATGTATGTGGCCATTGTCGGTGCCACCTGGTCCATTCTAGCCATTAACAATGGTGAATGAATGCCTGATTTATGGAGGTGGCTGAGGTGAGTAGTGTGAATAAGGATGTGAGTCCTGTGGGTGTGGGTTAACATGCCCCAGAAGGAAGTCTCTGTGCTGGCCTTGTTTATACCTGGACCTGTTTGTCGTTGCTGGAGATTCTGAGGAAATGAGAGTCTGAGAATTTATTATATATATTTTTTTTTAAACCAGAAGATATGTTTCCATAAGGGAGATGTCAGATCTTGGACTGATCATTCAGTTATTTACTGTGTTTCTTTTTTTAATGGATTCCACTTTTACTTAGATCTTACTGAACACCCAGTCTTTTAATAAAGTGTAGATTGATGAGCCACAGTCTAATCACACTTTGGCACTGACATTTGCAAGATTGGGAGCTGTGAATCATGCCTGTGGGGTACTTGCTATTTTAAAGCACTTTACTGTGAGGTATCTCAAGCTTTTTGTCTCTTGACTTCATTCTAGCTTGGTAATGTGCTTTAACATACTGAGATTTTGCTCTGAGGTAAACAAATGGTAATCCATATTGTGCTTTTCAGTGAAGCGAACATTTGTGCTTGGCTGTACTGTAAATATAAGCTTGCGTTTAGTTAGACTCTCACAAAGCCAAAGAGTAAAGGCTTGTTGTAGAAGTTAAGTTCTCCCCAGATGTGTATTCTTTTGAGAGCTACTGGAGCTTATTAGAATAATCTTACAGGATTGTTGAAATAATTTAAATAATTTTTTAAATATTTTTTTTTTTGTAAGGATACATCTCAGGTACTCAGTCAAGCCAGAACAATTATAGACAACATGGGTGAATCTAGCACATTCTTTACAATGAAGGACTACATGATTAATTCCGTGATGGCCTTGAATTCTGCATAATTCAGATAAGATTGGTGAATTTATTGTTCAGTGTTAATCTTTACCTTCAACATGGGCACTTCAGCATGACTGTATAAAAGACCAGAGGATGGTTGGTTCAATAACTCGGAGATTGAGCTACCCATAGTGAGTGATATTGATTGGAATTTTTATGACTCTTCGCTCTCACTCACTGTTTGTGTGTTGCTAGTGTTGTGTTGCAAGTGTTCATTTCACAACTTTGGGTTCCAACAATGCTGTCACAAACTTGCCAGTCTTGTTCGGCCTGGCTAGTTTGAGAGTTTGGTACTGGAATGGGTACCACTTAGGTACTTTGAAGTGAAGCTGAGGGGTTCATTAAAGTGTTTTTGTTTAAAGAACACATGAAGTGCCATACCTGAACATTCAGTGTGGGGTAAATAACAGGGGACCAAACATGCTCTCTGTGCTGAAGAATGCATGGAAAATTGTTGCCATTGTAGACATCTGTAGTGTCTGTTACATTCCACATCAGTGAAAACACTTTGC